CCTGTGTGGGATGATGTCCTGTGTGGGATGATGTCCTGTGTGGGATGATGTCCTGTGTGGGATGATGTCCTGTGTGTGTGGATGATGATGTCCTGTGTGTGGGATGATGTCCTGTGTGTGGTGTGTTGATGATGTCCTGTGTGGGATGATGATGTCCTGTGTGTGGTGTGTGGCTGCACGCCGGGGTTGGCTCCGTGCCTGGGTGGGCACTGATCCCTTGGCAGGCGGGTTCCCAAGGGAACTGTGGGATGGGCACCCCCTGGGGCAGCCCTGTGGGACTGGAGAGGGACTCTGGTGGCCACGCAGTGTCCCATCTGCACTTGCCACGTGCTGAGGGCTCAGCACTGGTCCTTGGCACGGATTTATTGCTTGGGTTGAATGATTTGCGCTCCTGGGAAATGCTGCATTTTCCTGGGACGGATCTCACTGATTCATCTCAGCTATCCCTCTGCAAAAATGAGTGAAAACGAGCTGGAGTGGGGAGAAAGAACCTGCTTTCCTCTCCTCCTGTCCCTGTTCCCTGGGAGTAGAGCCTGATCTCCCCCGGCTCCCCCCTCCTGGCAGGGAGTTGGAGGGAGCAACAAGGCCTAAGTCAGACTTTGGGCAGGTCTTTCTAAAGAGGAGAGAAGATACCCAGGGATCCAGGGGGTTCATCCTGATGTCTGTGAACAGGGAAGGAGCTGGAAACGTGCTCAGAATTGCTGAGAAGGTCAGTCCCTGTCCCTGGAGATGTGGATGGGAAGAGAGAAGGGAATAGAGCACAAGGTATCTGTTCTTTATTCCTCAGTGTGAAAGGTGGTTAGTAAAGACATTCCAGCATCCTGAATTCCTCAGAGGGACAGAGGTGAATCAGTCCTCTCTCCTTCTGCACCTGGGATCAAGGAGAGTTTGTGGAATTCTGCTGCAGAGGGAATGCTCTCAGTTGTTGTTTCCTCCTCCTCACCTCAGTCAAACCCGACCATCCCTGAGTGCAGAGAAGGTTTTTAAGAGCTGAGGTAAATCCCGTGATCCAGAATAACTCCTGTGTATCC